TAGCGGTCTGGCTGAAGATCGACGGTATGGGATGGCGCGCCAGAAAGGCAAATGGGAGTGGTGGCCTTCACACTTAGCAATTAGCAATCACATCTTCAGTTCATTGTGAGTCGATCCATTTGTTGAATGTTCTCCCAACCCAACGGGATATCCCATCACCCTGATCCGGACGAAAAGGCGGAAAATAGTTTGCAGCGGAAATCGAATTGAAACGAGTCGGAGATGGTCAGAGGGTTGTGTATTTGCGATATGCTGTGGATACAGACAGAGAGGTATAGCAATGGAAGGAGGCGTAAATCATTTGCAAGCTCAAAAAAACAGAATGCGCTCTGCCGTAGGACAAAGAAAGAGGACCACAAAATGGAAAACTAGCTGTCACAGGGGAATCTCACACAACATCACGTCCGTAATCTACAGGAATCGCTCAAAAGGTGCTGGTGGCCAGTCGGCTGGCCGCGTTCTTCGCATCCAGTCGATCATCGTCATCCTCCTCCGCAATCGATCCAACGCCACTGGTCGATCGCAGTTGTCCCTTAGCGGCGGCCCCTTGTCCGTTCACCTCGTCATCCTCATCGGGCGTAGGCGCAATGAAGCTACCACTCAGACTGCGTCCAATGCTGTCACTGCGACGGGGAATGCCGCTCCACGCGTCTCCCTTGGGGCCTTGACTGGAAGCCATGTTCGGCCGTCGGATGGACGGATGAGACTCGCGTCCCAGGCGACTTAGACCGCCGGAAGAATCAATAGAACGGATATCCGGCCGAACGCTTTCTAGTGTCGCAAGGGTGCGGCGCTCCGATTCAATTTGGCGGATAGTGTATTCGCGTAGACTGTTCAACAGGTCGTTCGATGTGCGGTCAAACCAGGCACGCTTCTCCAGCAGAAGATTCGATGTGACGCGTTGTGTTTTCTTGGTCAGGTAATCTTCGTGCCCCTGGGCCTCGTCCAAGGCGTTGATGGCCTCGTCAACCTTCTCCGGCCGTACCGACGAGCTGCCCTTCAACCGGTCCGCAGCGGCACGCTTGCTGCGGGTAACTTGCTGAGCTTGGATCAGTTCACGAAGCAGGATGTGGCGGTTGGTCAATGTCTCCTTGACAATGAATGCGTCGGACGAATGATAGCTCAAAGGATCTTCCAGAGTAGTTGCCTCTGCGGTTGCCTGAACTGCGTGGTAGTCTCCCACCGTCTGGATGACTTTGCCCAACTTCTTGTAGGCATTCGCAAGACCGGGATGAGACTCTTGCACATGCATCTGCCCCAGCTTGACACCAAAATCCGTCTCGGCGAGACCAAGGCCTAAATTGAAACAAGACATAACAGTCAGTTGCAACTTCTCAGGGACCGTGGATTGGGGAAGACTCACCGCGACGGGCCTTGACCACACGGTCAACTTTGTGGCTGGTATCCATGGCCCCAAGATAAAACATCTTTACGACCGGTCGTGCATCTTGCAATTCGGGCGTATCGTCCGGGGGCGGGGCGAATTGCTTCAGGACCTTCCTTCGAACTCCTGTCGCAGGCTGCTTCATCCGGACGACAGGGCTGTAGCCAAAGTCGCTCTCCACGAACAAGACGACCTCGTCATCTTGCATCAAAACCTCGTTACTCATGACAATGTTTAGCCATCGCTGCATGGACGCCTTGACTCGGATCTCGTCCTCCTCAGTTCCAGCCCCGGCGGGGGTCAACGGCGGCGGCACGGCAGGGACGAGAACCTCTGGGTTTGCTGAAATCAAATGATCCGCCAATTTCGAGAATTCCGCATGGGTGCGTCGGACATCGCGATACTGTGTCGTTCTGAATTTGGGGACATTTGTCTAATAAGCGACGTTAACGTCGAATCATCAGGAGAGGGTTGCCATCGGTGAAACAACTTACATGAACATCAAATCGAAGTACAGGATCCTTCTTGCCCGTACGCTCTAGTCCTGTAATCTTCGCCTGGATCTTATACGCTGGGCCCGGGTGTCTGGCATTCTGTCTGGCGCCTGTCTGATACCGCGCAGGCAGTTGGGACCGAGGCTCATTGGCATATTGCGGCTGCGTAGCATATGGTGGTTGTTCAACCGCATAGTCAGGATCTCCTAGTTGTGCGCTCTGCAACCGCGCGGAGAGGTCAGGGGAGCTCGGAGCCCCATTTTCAGATGGCTTAGGACGGGAATCTTCTTCCCGGTCATGCTGCGGGGGAAGCGGCGAGGAGGGAATGTCATTGTTGCTCGATGCAGGGAAGGATGACTGAGTGGCCCGAGGAGATGCCCAGGGATCAGAGCCCGAAGGATGCTCCGGATCGTGCGATATGGCCGAGTAGTCCATGACCAGTTATGCCTTGTTCGGGGGTGGGTGTTCAGGCGTCCGATGGAACCACGTCTGCAAGGAGCTGCGGGCGCAATTTCATCAGCATTTGATACGAGCTATGAGGGAGGCGTAGACAGATCCGGGCATACCTGTAGTTTCCAGACGTTAGATCAATTGGAATATTTTGAGCGAGAAAGGACGAGAGAAAAGAGTGCAGAGCAATGGAAAGCGAGACTGTGCAGGAGGAGGAGATGAGACGGAAGAGGAGGATCTGTGGAGAGAACGAAGGTTACGTCGCTGGGGGAGGTCGACACCCGATTGGTCAGGCACCAAGAAGTCACTGACCCAGCGGGAGATAAAGATCAATAGCATCATATCATCGGTCAAACACTCTTTTGCGGATGTCTCCTTCCATGCCCTTTTTCTCACTTTATCTAAACTACGGGTAAAGGATGTGCTCTTGTAAATACCGACCTTCTAGCAATTGTTGATGAGATCTGGCCATGGTTGCAGCTCCTTTCTTACGCAGCTTTCCCCAGGCGCGGCCTTTTGGTGCCAGAGCTCTTAATGCTGCTAGACACCTGGGATTGGGTTCGAGACAACCCCGAAACTCCAACAGAATCTGTCTCTTCCAGGATCATGGCCAATTGAAAATTTTCTCCACGTCTACGGTTAGATGGCAGGAGAAGATACTTGACCGAACCAGGAACATCGGTATCATCGCCCACATCGATGCGGGCAAGACAACCACCACCGAGCGCATGCTCTATTACAGTGGCTTCACGAGGAGGATCGGCGACGTAGACGAGGGCTCTACGGTCACGGACTTTCTACCTGCTGAGCGTGCGCGAGGAATTACCATTCAATCGGCGGCCATTACGTTCCACTGGCCGCCGACTGCTGGGGATGAGCAGGCTGCAAGCCAGCAGGAAGTGCAAAGTCCCAGGTCTGCAGCATCACATACCATGAATTTAATCGACACACCGGGGCATGCGGATTTTACGTTTGAAGTTCTGCGATCCCTGCGTATTCTGGATGGTGCAGTGTGTATCTTAGATGGGGTTGCGGGCGTTGAGGCACAGACGGAGCAAGTCTGGCACCAGGCCAGCACGTATCGCATACCGCGAATTATCTATGTCAACAAGCTTGATAGAGACGGTGCTGCCTTTGGACGCACGGTCCGAGAGGTAGGCTCCCGACTGAGAGCCTTCCCTGCGGTGTGCCAGATTCCGTGGTTCGAAGGCGGGAATGGCCGCTTTGTTGGTGTTGCGGATGCTATTAATCTACAGGGTCTAAGATGGCAAGAAGGAGACGGCAAGGTAGTGAAGATGCTGAGCCTGGAGCAGCTGGACGCCGAGGAAGCCCAGCTAGGGAAGGAGCTACGACGTGCCCGGATTGCGCTCGTGGAATTGCTCAGCGAGCATGACGAGACGATGGTGGAGAAGTTCTTGGAATACGATGAGGACCATCTTGCGGTCCCTCCCCACGACATTATCGAGAGCTTACGCCGCTGTCTTCTCGAAGAGCAAAGCAGCAATATTGTTCCGGTGTTTGCAGGCGCGAGCTTTCGGAATATTGGCGTCCAGCCTCTGCTCGATGCGGTGGTGAACCTCCTTCCCAGCCCTCCCGAGGCCCCAGACCCGGAAGTGAGCATCGGCGGTGTCAGAGGGGGTCTTCAGCGCCTGCTTTCTGGTGATCTCCTTGTAGAGCAGAAGGAGCAGGCTGCGTTGTCAAAGGGCAAGCACAAGAAGAAATCCACCGCACACGCCGACTCCCGCAATGTGATGAAGAATCTACAAGGCTGCGCTCTAGCCTTCAAGGTGGTCAACGACCCTAAGCGAGGAGTCCTAGTGTATGTCCGTGTGTACTCCGGGTCTCTGGACCGAAACAGCATTCTGTTCAATACCAATCTGCATGTCTCCGAGCGGGCGCCGCGCCTGCTCAAGATGTACGCCAACGACGCGGTGGAAGTAGACTCGATTCCGGAGGGACATATCGGCGTCGTGGTGGGCCTCAAGCACGCCCGTACCGGCGACACACTCGTCTCGTACGCGGGCAACAAAGTGACGCCGCCTGAACCACTCGATACCCTCCAGCTGCGGCCTATCGACGTACCGCCTCCCGTCTTCTTCGCCGGCGTCGAGCCGCACAGCCTCAGCGAGGAGAAGAAGCTGCAGGAGTCTCTCGCGCTCCTCCTACGGGAAGACCCTAGTCTCCATGTGACCGTTGACGAGGACTCTGGGCAGACTCTCCTGAGCGGCATGGGCGAGCTCCATCTGGAGATTGCGCGCGATCGCCTGATCAACGACCTCAAGGCCAAAGCCTCCATGGGCCGCATTGAGATCGGCTACCGCGAGACCCCGCTCGGCGCCTCCCCCGCCATCACCAAGATCTTCGACAAGGAGATCGCCGGCCGCAAGGGCAAAGCTGGCTGCACGGTCACAGTAGAGCCTTTCAACGCGGACACCGCGAGCGCACCCGACCCTAGCGCGCTCTCCGTCACAACCCACGACGGCAACCAGATCATCATCCTCGCCCCGAGCCTCCAGGTCGAGCAAACCAAGAAAGGCACCGAGGAAAGCCCCCTCCTGCCCCCGGGCCTCGATATGCCCGCCCTCCGCTCAGCCCTCCACAACGGCTGCCTCGCGGCCCTCGCCCGCGGCCCCCAGTTCACCTTCCCCATGCACAACACCCGCGTCACTCTTACCCTCGACCCAGCCACCCACCTCTTCGGAACAGACACCACGCCCTCCGCTCTCTCCGCCGCAGCCCGCCTCGCCACCTCCGCCGCGCTCCGCGACCTCGTGAACCCCGCCGCATCCGCGACCCCATCCGCCGGCACCGCGCTCATGGAACCCGTCATGAACGTCATCATCAGCATCGACGAAGCCAGCCTCGGCGCCGTGGTCCACGACATCTCCGCCGCCCGCGGCGGCCACATCGTCTCCCTCGACGACGCGGCCCCGCTCCCCTCCACCGACCTGGCCTCCTCGCCCACCGCCCCCGAGGACCTCCCCGCCATCGACACCAGCCGCATCTACGCGCCCCCGGACCCCTTCGAGACGCCCTCCGTCGGCGCCGCGATGCCCGTCTCCGCAGTCCGCCCGCGCACCATCACTGCTAAGGTCCCGCTGAAGGAAATGGTCGGGTATCTCAAGCATCTGCGCAGTCTGAGCGCGGGACGAGGCACGTTCGTCATGAGCGTGGATCGGTTCGAGGTCATGAGTGCGCCGCGGCAGAAGGCCGTGCTGGCGGAGTTGAGAGGGGATTATTACTAAACCCAGAGTCTCCGCTGCTCCTCTGCTCTTTCTACGCGAGTATGGAGGTATGAGAACGAAGGGGAAAAGTCATGTATAGTATCATATCGGATCATATCCAAGAAAGGCAAAAATGTACATTAGTTCTGAAATAGCAACGAAGCATAGCGCCCCCACCCTTCAACAACAATAAGCATTTGGTATTCTAAATCGCACGCGGCACGGCATAGCAAACACTCAAGCATAAAAGCAGAGAACAACACATCACAGGACTTCAAGAAATGTCCTCAAGCCGATTAACCCACCAACCTAACCCTCACCCTACCAATTATCATCCCACCCGCCTTCATCATGCCCCTTCTTCCCACCCGCCGCGCCTGTCCCCGTCGCCGCACCGCCTCCAGACCCAGGCCCCGACCCTGAACCAACCCCAGCAGCCGAACCACCCTGCCCGCCAGGCCGGATGGCTGTCGTCCCGATCGCGCTCGACCGCGACGTATTCCGCCGATGGGGGGTGTCCTGCTCGCCGAGCGTCGAGAAATCATCCCAGAAGTCCTTGCGCTCGGGTTCCTGGCGGCGCCGCGCTGCCGCCGCGGCACCTTCGTCGGGGCCCTCGACGAAGCGCGAGAAGTGGCCCGCGGCGCCGCGCGCACCGGTCTGGATGTTCTGGCCGAGCTGGGTGGCCTGCACGCGGGCTTGTGCGGCAAAGTCGGATTCAGCTATCTATAAGAAGCAAGTTAGTTGATCGTCGCTCGGTCTGCTTTTGGTCTTTGAGAATTTTTTCGTGTGGAAAAGGCAGCGGGGACAAAAAGGGAGGCGGGGAGGGGTTACCGTCTTCGCTGTCGGCTGGATGTACATATCATTCACCGTCTTGGCACTCTTGCCCACCGCCGTCGTAAACCATCCGAACCCCTTTGTCAGCGCGCCCACGGGATCTTTCTGGAAATCATCTAGTCCGGGAACGCCGGCGCGCGCGGGGCCCTTGTTCGCCGGCGCGGGAGGCAGCCCGCCTCCGAAGCCAGTGAATTTCCCGCCCTGCGAAGGCGGCAGGGAGGCGGAGCGCGATGCGTTCTCGGAGCCCAGCTTGGCGAAGTACGCCTCGTTGCGCTCCTTCTTCGTGGCGGCGGCGGTGCCCTCGATGCCGTCGTGGGAGGCCGGGGAGCCGGCGCCGTGGCCGGGGCGAAGACCCGTGTTGGTGAGCGGCGTGTTGGACCGCGAGGCGGCGGCGGGCTGCGCTGCGGGTTTGGGCTTGGGTTGTCCTGGGACGTAGTCGCGGCCTTCGGCTTTGGCGGCGAGGCGCTCCTTCCACTCCTCGCCGACCTCGCCCTCGTAGCGTTCCTTGATAGTGGAGTCCTCGAAGGTCCGGCCTTCGGACTGCGTGATCGGGTGATCGTCGTAGAATGTCTTCCAGGGGTCGTTGCCTCCGTTCTCCATGCGGAGGATCTCGGAGGTCTTGAACGCGTCCATGGTGATGGAGCGTACGAAGGAGATGTGCACGCCTAATCCGCGATGCGTGCCAGCGCAGTTGAGGCAGATGAAGGTTCCGAATTTAGGTGACGCCTAGAGAGATATGCATGGATCGCAAAGAGTCAGGCTGGCATGAATATGATGAGACGGCTTGCGACCATTGTTCGTGGGGGGGGGGAGTCAACACTGAACGAACCCATTGAGGCGACGGTGCACCGCAGTCGCAACATCTGTCGTTTCCATTGGTCCTGGAGATCTGAAGCAACTGAGCAGTAAAGAACGCGAATTAGTTTAAGATCAACGCATTTGGCGATAGGACACATTAAGTCTAGGCAAACAGACGCACACACATACCTTGGCCTTCGTCTCGGGGTCGACCTCCCACAATCGAGACATGTCGACTGTTGTATGGGATAATTTAAGTAAGAAGCGACGCAGATGTAGAGAAATCGAGGAGAGAGAAAGACAGCGATCTCCCAACCCCTATGGCGCGCTTGGTGTAGTCGAGGTGAAGGCTGCAGTGTGGCCAGTCCAGTCCAACTTATTGGCGGAGTTCGCCCCTCCACAAAGCGATTGTGGCCACAGATGCAAGAACGAAGCACAGTGAATTTTTCCAAGAAAGGCACAATCAAGCAGGAGAAGAATTGCAGGTCGAATGGAGCGAGGAAGAGAGCATCGTAATTGTTCGACACTACCGATCAATGCTTTGAATTTCGAGCTGGCTGTGGAGCATCGTAGCTACAATGACGGCAAGGGGAGTTCTTCCATGGCACCAGAAATAAAATGAAATATGATTATGCGGATTAAATTATTATGAGGACAGCCTGAGCCAGACCAGTTAGACAAGTCAGACGAGTCCGAGATACACAGAAGATCAAGAAATCAAGAGTGAGAGCAAGTTCGTCTACAGCAGGACCATCGTGACACTTCAAGGCCAGCCTTGCGGCATATTTCATAAGCTAAATGGTGGCTAAGATACAATACAGCGAATAAAGGCAAGATTCGTTAAAAGGTCCAGTCTCTCGTCGCCACGAGATCCGTCTCCGTAGGTCATCTCTCCAGCTGGGATGTTTTGCGTGGGCAATCCCATATAGAAAAAAGGAAAAACATCATCATCACTCTTCGCAGCAACCCCTGTTCAGGCCAGATCCAACATAAAGAATATCCACAGCTTTTCTCCGCGGTTCGCGGGATCAAAGGAAAAGAGAACTTCTCGTAAAAGGCATCCTCACGATGCTTACCTATGAATATAAACATCCATGCACAACGGCCATCACCAACCATCTACCCTCCCACATCATTCAATCCGACTGGCGTGCTACAGTTGGAGAATGGAAGCAAGAGGAAGACGGAAAAAAAAACACGTTCTGGACTGGAACGATCTTGTCATATTTAAGCAGCAGCGGGGGCAGCGTTCTCCTTCTCCGCGGCGGCGGGAGCGGCAGCAGGAGTCTCGGTGGCAGCGGTAGTAGGGGCATCCGCCTCAGCAGCGGCCGCAGGAGCAGCAGCAGCAGCCTCAGTGTGCTCGCTAGGGGAAAGAGGCTCATCTTCCTTGCCAGGGCTGTCGATGGCAACCTTGACGGCGATCTCACGGCCTTCAATCTCCTTACCGTTCATCTCCTGAACGGCCTTCTCCTGGAGCTCCTCAGAACCAAGGGTGACGAAACCGAAACCACGGCCCTTGCGACGCTCGTTGCGGGCCTGAAGCTTCTTGATCATGAAACGAGGGATGGGGCGCAGGGCAATCTTGGCGGACACGGGCTGGTAGTCGGCAAAGATCTCCTTGAGCTATAATCAAAGGCGTGTTAGTATCCTGTTCAAGTGGCAGCAGTAGATTCTTTTCATGTCGTACCTTATCCTCGGTCAGATCGTAGGGCAGGTTAGCCACCATGACCTTGGTCTTGGAAGGAATGCCATCCTCGGGGGGACCACGCTGCTTCTGAGGACGAGGGGCACGAGGCTTGCCGGCCTGCTTAGCGGACTCGGGGGCAGCGGCATCGGCCTCGTTGGTGATCTCAGTCAAGGGATCAACCTGGCCGGGAACGTTCACAGGGACCTCGGTGGTGGCAGGACCGCTCTGCGATTGGTTCTGAAGTCCGATGTCAGCAAAGTCGAATCAACATGAACCTTCCGGGGGGGTGGGGCAACTTACGCGACCTCCACGACCGAAACGGCCTCCACGGCCACGGCCGCGACCGCGGCCACGGGCACGACCGCCAACCCTCTTGCGGCCTTCTGTGCCACTGGCGCCCTCACCGCCACTTGCAGCACCCTCCGCCTTCGCCTCGGCGGGCTCTGGCTTGCGGGCCAACTGAACCGAAACCTTGCGCTGGAGGATCTCCTTGCCGGAGAGCTCCTCGATAGCAGCGGTGGCCTCAAGAGCAGTGGCGAGGTCCACAAACGCATAGCCAACAGGGCGGTTAGTGCGGGGATTCACAGGAATGGAGGTGCTTTCACTATGAAAAGACGCCATGAGTCAGCCAAAGGAGTTTTGGGAGAGAAATCGACTGATGTCAAAGGGTAGGGAGAGAGAAATTGAGTCAGAAACAATTTCTCCCATCATCAACCATTTGCCATGGACACAGTAAGTGGTGGGAGATTTGTTTGTGACACACGTGGCGGCAATTACCCCAACGGTTGCATGACAGGTAGGTTTCCGTTCCCGCAGCTACCAGTAGGCCCGAGGACAAGAAGCCAAGAAACCCCCCCGAGGGAAAATGAGCACACGGGTCCGGAAAGGGCAGCGACTTACATCGTGTAGCTCTGGAAGAACTCCTTGAGCTCCCCCTCAGTGGTCGCATACGCGAGGTTCCCAATATACAGCCGACGACCCTCATCGGCACTGGCCGCCGCAGCATCGGTGGTGGGCTGGGCAGCAGCAGGTGCAGGCGCAGTACCGTTGGTGGCCTCATTGGCAGTGGTAGGGGCCTGGTTGTCGGCTTTGTTCTCGACGGCAGTAGACATCTTGATGGCTGAGGACACAAAAAAGGTTTTCAAATTGATCGGGATCGGTTTGAGCGGTATGCGGTCAGATGTGTCACGGACTCAGGAGAGCTTTAGGCCTGCCTGTTCGGAAGATTGAATACGTTGATTGACTTGACTTGTGGGATAAACTTGTAGAGGGGGGAGGAAAGGGTAGCTTGGTGCCCTAGATACAGAGAGTTGGAGGGAAAATCCTGAGATTGATCACAATGGTAGATTTGCCTTGGGAGGGAGGGGGGGAAGAAGAAAGAGAAGAGGGAAGAATGGGACGTCGAGACGGAGAAAGGAGAAGATGAGAGAAAAAGGGCAGGCAGCGAAGAGTGGCACGCTAGGCGGTTTCGGGTAGTTTGATGCCTGAGGATGATGGGTTGATACGGTACTGGTACTGTCATGCCCCGCTGTAGCTGACGGAAGGCCCAAAGTCTTTCCAAGGGCGTTCTCGCGGGGCGGTGAGCCCTGAGTCCTAGGCGGTTGGCCCCTAAGCTTGGGCACTGGATCCCCCTAACCCTTAGGGGATGGAGGGGGGGGGCCGCCGTCGCCTAGCGTTTCTGGACTTTTGGGGCCCTCGTAGTGAACAACCTGGCCTGGCCAGTAATTAATTACCCTAGACCGCTGGAGTTCTGGAGTCTGGATGGGATATTGACATCACTGCTATCCACTCTAGCTGATTTAGCCCTCTTTAGCGTTCCACATCTCGAAGCAATTATTTATGGACTGGTTCGGGTTCGATAACCAATTGTTGTCCGACTCAGGCCAGGTGTGCCCCTCTGGTGTGGTACAACGTGTGTTGAGAACAGTTTTCTTTCCATCTTGCTCAAGAAAATGGCTGCGACTGATAGACAGTTGACATATTGGAAATTCGACCTGGTTACTCCTGTGGTTGAAATACAGAGGTCGTCATGGTGGATGTTCCGGGTTTCCATTGGCACCCAACACAACTTCAGCTTTATTCGCTGTTGCATGGTCATCCATCATCACCCTGTGTACTCTGTACTGTTATGTTAAGTGTCTGTGATCAGAGATGATAGAGCCCTCATAAGGGATGATTCTTCCTGCTTCAGCCTGCTTGTTGCTTAGGCTCTTTTCATCTGAGATGTCAAACCCAAACTCACTGCAACCATTATTATCTGACCTCGTATTGCTGTGAACTATGAAGCTGCTGGAAGCCTCGAACTCATAGTCCTAGGACTCTAGGTCTGGAGTGCGAGATCCCTGGTCCCGCGATATCACCACGCCTTTGAGTCCAGCTTCAACCGGTAATGCATCGCGAGCTGCATTGGGAGCGGGAAGCTTTTTTTTGGCTGCTCTTTCGCGATCGAGGAAGATATTGTACGGCTTTTTGCCGTCCGATGAGGGGGTGGGCGGCATTCCAACTTCAACCGCATATTATTATTGCCAATAGCTGGTACAAGCCCGAGTCTTGACAAGTCCTGCGCCCAATGAGGCCCAGAAATATGGTGTTGCTATAGGTTTTGCATTAATATATGTGTTCATTCGATGTTGACTTGTACCATGAATGCTTGGGATTCAGATGCTGGGGTTGAGCCAGCAAGCCATGTATCAGGATAGCAATGTTGCAGACTGAGCAACCATGTCCCTTGGCAAAGTGAAGTTGATGTAGTGAGGATCGCCATGTCGATAAGAAGTTGATAAACAGGTCAGTTGCCAACTTGTTGGATGGGTTGGGTGACAGAAAGGTTTAGATATCGACGATAAGTTGGCCTCAGGCATCCGGATCAGCCTTACTAGTACTCCAATTCTTAGTGCCGATCGCCGTTCCACATAGAAATTAGAAAGAAGTCGATTAGTATTATATTATCATTTATTATTATTAGTGAAGTCGTAGTAAGTACTCCGTAACTAAGGAGTAAGGAGTCAGGACTGAGTAGTTAGTAGTTAAGTACTGCTACGTCAACGCCTCTGTCAAGTTGTCAACCTGATAGACTGACTGAGTGTTGTCCCTCCGACATAACCAACAGATATTGGTGGCCCTCCACTTCTTCTTCTTCTTCTTCTTCTTCTTCTTCTGTCTTCCTAGTTAACTAGTCCATAGAACTACATAGTACTACCTCTTTTAGTAAAATGCAGCGCGTGCCTGTGGCTGATGGCATTTTGATACGAGATTGATAAGCCCAGAATTAGTGATTAGTCAATCACTACTCATCTCCCATTTGTTCCACTTCTTTTGGCGACTTTCACTACCTAGGTACTACTACTACATAGTAGTACCAACTTTTGCCTTTGCCTTCTATCTATTTTTTTTTTCCCTTTCTTGTTTTTTCCCCTCCCTTTTCTTTTCCTCCTCTTCCTCTGATTTGAAGCTGGACTTTCGCTCCTTCTTGTCCTTCTTGTCCTTCTCGACCTACTTCCGCCCCCAATGGATCGCATCGAGCCTGTGGACGGCTCTCTCGATCCCTCGGAGGGCCAGCGTCCATCTTCTGCCCACCTTTCGACACCTGAGGCTCCAGCTGCACCAACGTCATATCTCCGACCACGAGCCCCGTCCCTCCGCCCACGCCGTCCAAGTATCCGCATTCAACGTCCACCATCGTTCAGCGGTTTGAATCTACAAGGACAGCGAAATGTTGGCTCCACGAGCAATTTGATCTCGAACTTCGATAACAATGCACAAAAACCTCGCCGGAAATCCAATTTTGGTGGATCGGAGGCGGCTGGGAATGTTCAAAATGAGCAGACCGGTGGTGGTGCAGACAGTGACGGCGACGCTGCCTGGCAGGGTCGTCGGCGCAGCAGCTCTGAACCTCGTCCTGGCCACTGGTCGCGCCCCGATCCCTTTGGTCCCCCACGAGTGGTGATCGGTGATCAGACGAACGCCATGCCCATGTACTCGTTGAAGGAGGAGTCTTCCAGCCCTCAGAGCCCGGTCGCCGAAATATCATCCTCACAGCCCTTTGTCACGGAACAGTTGTTGCAGCCCACTCCGCCGATGGCCCCACGGCCAGGCAATCGGAATATGTTGCGTCGAACCAGCGAGGCGGCCCTCAATCGCTTCTCTCGGAATCGTGCGTCAACTGTCAATGGGACAATGTCTGTCACGCCGCCTCCGAACCCGGATGCCACGGAATACCGGTCTCAAATTGTGGATGTGCTGGATGTTATCGGTGAGTAGTTTTGCCTAGCAACCCTAGATCAATCCTAGAGAAATCCATTTGGACATACTGCTAATACCAAACCCCCCCAAAGACCCCGAAGTATCAGCTCTATCCACCCTCACAAACGTGCAAAACTCCCTCTTTATTCCCAATCTGGGTACGTGGGTAAACCGTATGCCGACATATACGCTCTCACCTCCTCGGCCTCGTGATCAGGACTCTAGCGAAACAGAAAGCGATGAATCGACAGACGCGGAAAAGAAAGGAAGTCGTCCAACCCTACAGCCATCTGCCAGTCTTTCCTCTGTCCTTGACGAAAGCCCCGAGCGCCGGTTTGCCGTTCTGCCCGAAGAGATGACCTTGGAAGGATGGACTAAGGAAGAGGTGGAGGAACTGAATGACCGTGTCAGGCACATGTTACATTCGCGCCGTTCTGCCTTCAAGCGGGCCATGGTAGGGTTTGGGAAATATGTATCCAAACGTAAGTTGGGGATATACTATGTTCAACGAACTGTGCAACTGACGGCTGGAATGCACAGCTCTCGGTTTTCTGGTCACTCTCTACGCGACCCTGATTACCCTGTTTGGCCTTGCCTGGGTACTTTTCCTTATCGGTATGTGCCCACACACCTTTGTTGACAAGCTTCCTGGTGCTAAGATAAACCAGGCTGGATCAATGTGGGCGGGAAACAGCTCTATGTCATTAACGTCATCGACAACGTCCTCGTGGCTCTCTTCGCCATCATGGGTGACGGGCTGGCTCCCTTCCGCGCCGTCGATACCTACCACATGATCTTCATCGCCCGCTACACCTTTTTGACCTGGAAGATCCGCCAGAAGCGCGCCCTCCCCGCTCTCAAAGACAAGAACGACCTGCCTGCCCGCCCCGAGGCCGCAGTCGACGTCGAATACGGCAACACCCCCTTCGGCGAGGAGCACGAGTTCTCCGTCCTCAATTGCGCCCAGCAGCTCAAGCTCATCCACCATCAGGAAAAGTTCGCCAAATCCCACACGTTTTACAAACCCCACGAAACCCCCACCCACCACGCCTTCCCGCTCCGCCTCCTCGTCGCCATCGTCGTTCTCCTCGACTGCCACTCTCTTTTCCAGATCGCCCTCGGCGCCTGCACCTGGGGCATCAGCTACCACGTCCGTCCCTTCGCCCTCACCACCGTCATCCTGTGCTGCTCACTCACCTGCAACATCACCGGCGGCATCCTCATCATGATCGGCGACCGCCGCACCCGCAAGAAGGACGTCGTCGAGCGCCTCTTCCGCCAGCAGCTCACCGAACAGGCCGTCAAGAAGATGCAGAAGAAGAAGCGCAAGGAGGAGGAGCGCAAGTCCATGGACCAGGAGCGCAAGTCCTTCGATTTCCGCAAATCCTTCGATCAGTCCCGCAGGTCACTCGACCTGCGCAAATCCATGGACCAGTCGCGCCGTCCCCTGGATCACTCGCGGTCGCCTTCATCGAGCGATCCCACACACCCGGGCCCGTACCAGGGCACCTGATTCAACCCTCCCCTTCCTCTTCCCCAATCCACCTTGATATCCGCATCTATAGCACGCCTTAATCCACGACTGCCACGAACGAACCTACCCTGTCCCCATCTACTTCACTAAGATACTTCGACTGTGTCTCTACCCCCTGTACTTTGATATATCGGATACCTTTTCCGCTACGTTATAATCTAGCTTCTGCGTGTTTCCCTACCTAGCGTTCTATTTCTATACAGATATCTTATCTTGTTGGGGTGTATCCTGGGTCTATTGCTATGTTTGGTCCTTGGATTCTGGGTTTTTTAATTTTGGTTCAGAAGCATGTGAGCCTTTTCATTCTATTCATAGCGTTCCATCTTGGAATATACTATGGCTTTCTACAATCATAATCGATGCAGTGTGTGTAACATGCTGTGATATCTATATCTACGTGAAATGCATTCATAGGGTGGCTAGTAGATCTACTCGGCGATTGTACTCGGTAAGTGAGGTAACCTCTTTTTACGGAGGTCTTCTTTCTATGCACTGAGTGAGATGAGGGGTTTATGCTATACAGGTTCAAAAAGAAAAAACCAAGGTCCGAAACAACAGCAAGAGTGGAAGGAGATATACGGGTCTTATAGACATGCAGTTGGCGCTCATGTACAGGATATCCAGGTGCCAAAAGAGACCTCATCGAAGGCCTGCAAAACCATTATACACAGATATGAGAATGAAACAGAAAAAAAGGTAAGCTGAGAGCCTCGCCCTTCAGAACCGGACATACCAATCGCTGATCGCTGTCAAACATGGATTGAACAAAAAAAAAAAGGAAGAAAGAAAGAAAGAAAAATGAAGGTCGAGATCACCATTTGTGGACAAAAAACCCGCCCGAGGAGGTCCAGAAAGTAAAGAGAGGGAAAGGAAAATGTCAAGTGAGTGATACGTCAATATCTCAGGTGTGTGTATGAGAACGACGAAGTATTGGGTTCTGCTCTCCTGGAGAGCACACTTAAAGAGGAAAGTCCTGCACACAGAGCCCATTCACAGCTCTTGGTGAAGCGTCTTGGTGTCAGCAACGATTTGCGAGTCCCGTCGGTTCAGAATCCCTTCAAGGGTGTCCAGGCGCTCGCGAGTCGTCTTGATCGCATGATTCATCTCACGATCGGACATCTTCTCGTCGCGGAGCTTGTTGCGGAACTGCTGCGACGTCTGACGCATCTGAGACTCGGGTGCTTTACTGGCCACGGGAAAGGCCCTACCATCCATACCTACACGGTCTTCTAACCAGCTCCAAAGTTCGCTCTCCTCCCTTCGCCACATCTCCTCGTAAGCCGCCAGGCGTTGAGGTAACGAATAACCGGGACAGCCTATATCATGCGATCCTCGTGATGGCTGCGATGGGGTTCGGAAGAAGACCATGAAGAGCAGAATGCCAATGACGACAACAGCAATATTACCATTCCAAAGTGGCTGGAGAATATCTGCAACAGGGCCAAGCACCCCATGAACCGGCTCCAGAATTCCCCATGATTTGGCCTGCGCCGCACTGGCATTCTGAGAGGCCTTGGCAGCTGCAGAAGCCGCGTCGTCTGAGGCGGAATCGGTCTTCTTGCGTTTACCTTTTCCTTTACTTCCGGCCTTGGTGGCGCCCGCGCCACGGCCACGAGAGGTAACAGCGGCTTTCAGAGCAGCAACAAGCTCGTTCCCAAATGTGGTTTGGCCATCTATAGCGCCCTTCTCAATAGGACCTATCTCTTGTCAGCACGAACACTTGATCTTTTTGAGTTGGAGCTTCTTGGGAAGGCATTCTTGCCTTTCAGCCAACTCTTGCCTGACCACTCAATGGTGCAAGTCATCAAAAATCGCGTCTGGTTTCCCGAAGCCCATGTGAAGAGATATTTGGTTTTGGTGCAGAAGACATTTCCACTAGGGACATCAGGAGTCTGAGTCGATAGTGTCACCAGCACAGCCTTCTCCAGGTCCAAGAAATCTAAGGTTTCAGTGCTGATGCACTTGGTTTGCTTGGGGCCAATGGAACCATTGAGCGGTTTGATGTATGAGTAGTTTCGCGTTTTACTATCATTGGTAAGGCCTTTCTTGTCACTTTCAAACTGAAGCTCTCCGGATTTCTGGTTTTCAACGAGGAACTTGGGGATGAAAGCCCCCGAGGCCGGTCCAAAGACATAGGAGTAGACTTTACCAAGCGGGGCAGGGATGACTTCGTCTTTGATGAGTTTATCGTACTGCCCATTGGGTTCGGTGTATTCCGTTGGTGCGTGAGTTGCCGGTCCAGGGAAATCCGCATCTGCCTCACCATTTGGAGCCAACTTGCTCGTTTTCGACTCGCCGTTGGAATTGACCGCCGGTGCCGGTGCCATACCGTTAGCAGGCGAGAGAACCCCGGATGCTTGTCGACTCAGCCCTTTAGTCGGGAGTGATCTTTCACTTGCATTCGCGCTGGCTCCTCCGGCCCCGAAGACACTATCAGCATTGTCGCCATCCTCATCTTCGTCGTAGATTTCGTCTTCATCATCGTCATCACTTTCAACTTCGCTCTCGCCAGCCTTTTCGGTCTTGTCACCGGTTCCGTGTGCTACTCTGGTTCCATTCACGGAGCTCTTAAGAGCGGGGTGGTTGATCTTCCAAATGTTCACCATCAGATCGTACGTGGACTCTCGACTCAACAAACTTCTGAATGTGTGGCGAGCGTGTAATGTTTGGATGGCTATCGCGTTCGGAAACACCATTGCGGTCGATTCTTTTTCGATAGCAACGATTTCGTCAAAGCTGATAACGAGAGTGGTGACCCATCCTAAGATATTGCTCGAGAAGCAGATGTGGCCCTCAGAGATATAGATACGACCCGCCAGAATGATCTCTCTCTGCAAGGCGCAGCTATAATCTTCGATTAGATAGTCATCTTCGGGAACGCTTCGGAAAAGTTGGTGGAATTCCCGATTTCTCTTTTTGCTTGCTACAGCAAAGCCTGTCAGACGAGGCACACTTGCGTTAGCCCCCGGGGCCCCCAAAGTAATTGCACTCGCACCAAGGGCGCCAGCAGTTGATGTAGTCGCTCCGGAAGAGCCCCGATGACGCCGTTGTGCCAGCCGACTACGCACGCTCCCACTCCGGTAAGGTCGAGTACCAGTTTCTCCATCATGGATACTGCCACTGGGAGGGGTCTGGTCCCCTGTGCCCTCTCCGCGCGAAAGTGAAATACTAGATTGTAACTCGAGGGCTTCGTCGGACGGCTGGATGGTAGGTTGCTCAGAGGTCTGTTCGTACGCCATATGAACTGCACGTGCAGCGTGACGGTCTTCGAGCCTCGCTGCTTCCAAATCCCGCAAGTATGCGGCACGTTTCTCAGGTGGGATATCAGGCTTCGTGATCACTACCCCGTCAGGCGTCGAAACGGCGTCTCCAGGTGCTGCATCGATATCTAGGTGGCTGAAGTTCAAATCTCCGGAACCTAACGTATCAATAGCCGACGGCTTTCTCTGCCCGACCGGTCTCTCCTCCGCCAACCTTGATTCATTCGACTCTTCTGCAGTCCCGTTAGGATGTGAGCCTTCGGGCCCTGGATTCTCGGGTTGCGTCGCAGTGCGTCCCTTGGTCTGTGGGTTGAGGCTGCTGCTCAGTGTCGATGCCGCATTCTGCGCCGCGGAGAAGACAGAGGAGAAGAAACCGGTCTGCTGATTATTGGAGGGGGGTCTCGAAGCCGGTTTGGTTTCTTCGATAGTGGGACTCAAGGCGGAGATTGAGTTTGAGAGTTTACTAGGCTTGTGAGAGGCGGAGGAGGCGGAACGTACGCGCCGATGCGAGATCATGTTTCCAGACGGGCTTACGATGACACCCGACGGCATGTCTCTGGACTTTACCGACTCCGGGGACTCGGTCATATCGGGAGAAGAAAATAATTTTGGAAACTCAGATCGAGCATTAGTTGGAGTCGGAGGGGTCACTGTGGTATGCGGAGCAGGTATAGCGGTATGCGGAGGTGTTCTTGGCGGATTTGGACGGTCGGAGATGTTGAGAGGCTTGTCCTCGGCGACATTGGTAAGAATTGGAGCCAGGGCCGCAGGGGGTTCTGCGGCCATGGTTTGGCTTCGTTTTGACGAAAGACTGTTTCTTCTGCTCAGTAGACCGCCGCTCTTTTTGCTGTCGCCTGAGGTAGAAGATGCCCGCTCCCGGTTGGAATCCTTCTTCTCGTTATTGCCGCCAAACGCATTCTTTAATCGACGACCTGGAGAGACACTGCGCTTTTTACTGCCGCGTTCCTCTGGAATACTCAACATGGGCCCCGAAGAGGTAGCAGGCCTGGAGAGTTCTGTATCCGCGAAGGATTCCGAGGCTGTGGCGCTTGGACCGCTTACAGCAGACTCAACGTCCGCCTGCATGTCTTCAATGTCATTCGGATCTATCGATGTCGTTTTGATCAAAGGAGAGGAGGAAGTGTAAAAGCCGGTGTGGGAGTTTCTGGTAGTGAGAGGGGGCGTCCTGCAGAGGAAACGGAGAACGTCAGCAAACGCTACGCTAGTACAGGCTGCAATGCGGCACAGCTTACCGGTCAGGCTCAGAATCATCGGTTAAGAGAGTCATAGTATCGCTTGCCGGGTGGGAATTTTCGTTCGCCAACAATGTCCCATCGCGAGATTCATTTGATGGACCTCGATGTAACCTGTCAGTGTCATTCTCGGAGACGAGTGCTGACGACAACTCCTCGGCCTGCTTCTGCTCCTTCTCCTTCTTTCGTCTCCGTCGGGCGTTGAGCAACTTGGAGAATCCACTGGGACCTGCCTTGGTAGATTCGGCTGCTTCGCTGGCTTGCGATTTAGGTCTATCTGAGCCGGACGATATCGACGCCCGTCCATTGCTGCGACTAGAACTCCACATGGTCTCGAGGTCGGCAGGTGTGGTCCAGGTTCGATTGGATTTACTGAACCCCTGAGGTTCCGACTGAGGAACCGGAGGGGGCTCCGGAATCGCGGGTTCGTCCATGGGGGATATATGGAATGCAAGAAGGGGAAGAAGGTAACGAGAGGAATGTTATTCGAAAGTCATTCAGCGATAGGGGCGATAACCGAAAGGAGCAAATTCCAGCAGGCGTTATGGCTACTCCTATACAACCAGGGGATCTGAAACACTTCTGATTTCTAGTTCGTGAGCATGGCAAGATTGAGTTACAGTGCTCTTCTTCCCAAAGCGTCCATCTAGGACCAGTCGTACTAATGTGGGAGATTCAGATTGAACAATCACGGGGAAGAGGGGGGGGAAGAAAGATGCTGAGGAGATGCGGCAATATAAATCCGCAATCCCAGCAGCATGGCTTGACTGAATCTTGAGCTGGAGAAGCCTCTTTCTTTCCTCTGCACAGATCTGGAGCCGAACCGTGGAGATAAAAAAAGAAAGAAGAAAAGAGATGTATAAGAAAGAAAGACAGACTTGGAGCAGAAGCTGGAGAAGTTGCAGGAGGGAAAATGACGACGACAGCGGACGACTTTCACCTCCGCAACAGTACGGGATACCGTAATACGAGGAGATACGAAACAAAATTTAAGGGGCAACAGTCCGTATTACCATGTACCAGTATCAATCGATAAGTGCAATACGGAATACATCCTGGTATTATTACCGTATCACTTGAGCTTCGACGGCTCCATACTTATTTTTGGAGCACAGTGGAGACAAGTGGCTTTCGGTGATATTATTATTGAGAATCAATAATTATAACTTAGAATTTTAGATTGCATACTCTGTTGATAGATCTAGATTCTGTTTCAGTAGAGAACTAGAGATACAAGGAAAACGCTGAGTATACATAGTATAATCCGATCAGCAGATGGATCATGGCCGGATGAGGAGCTCCCATCCCAGTTCAACAGAAACAGAGTAATGTAATGTTACAAGGGTTACAGTCTCATTGTATTCACTTGGCGGTCTGCGAAATGGCGTCACTATCAACTGGCTTTCTCTTTCTTTTTCCTCTCCCTTCCTCTCTCTGATGCAACACTTTCTTGATGTGGGACGACAGCCTCAGTCTCGGGTCTTCAATGTCTTTCCACACAGTCTTTTATAAGAGCCTTATATTCGATTGAAAAGGGCCTTGATCTGCGCGGCAGCCATGGAGTCAGCGCCGCTCACATTGGTAAGAAAAAATGGATGTCTTCCCCGCAATCAGCACCCGCTCACCAATCAATCATTCACATAAATAGGCCCATACCCACGCCCGCAACGCTGTTTTGGAGACGCGCAAGTCCAATCCAGTCGCGGCGAGTGAGGAACACGACCTGGCTGCTGGCGAATTTGCGACAGCTGCCCAGAACAGTTCTGATCGCGAGGTACCTGTTCCTTTGCGATACTTCACCATTTGGTGCGAGGTCTAATGCGGTGTGGCCTTCCATTGCACAGGCACTACGTACTCTTCAGCTTCTCGAACATCACCATAAGAAGCTTGCTCAGATACTCCGTTTCAATCATGAGAACCCTACCAGCACTACGTCTGTCGCGACTACTCAGCCTGGGGCCGGAGAATCGGGGACAGCTAAGCCTTGCACCGCGCCAGAGCAGCCACAACAGCAGCCTCCCAGGTTGGTGGCTAACACTCGGTTACCATCTAGAGAGACCTCCTCTATTGTCAGCGACCTAGCCACCGCACGAGGAATAATACCTTCTCATCCGCGCCGTGCCTCTCCCGTCTCCCCCACTGTCTCTTCCCAGCAGGCGGGAGCGAAGATGAGCGATGGCCCCAGCAAGGTAAAGACAAGCGAGTCGAGATTGCGTGGCACTCATGCTCAAAATCAGAGGGACCATTCCAGCCGCGTGTCTGCTTCCAAGCAATCCTGGTCGCCTCCTGCTGCGAGCCCAACTGATATCACATCGCAACAGTTTGTGTTACCAGAACAAGCCGAGCGCACCCAGCAGAAGAACATCGCCGCGAATTCTGAGGAACCCTTCCAGCGATTCTACTCTACCTTCGAAGGCCTCATTTCCAAGATTTCCGCTCCCCTCGCATTCGCCGGTCTCCCGCTTGGATCAGAGGCAGCGACACAAAGTGAACCCATCGCGCGCAAGACCCCACCAGAAACCAAGGTCGACCGATACCAAGCAACTTCTGACCGGCTTAAGTCCTCCGAGCCCGACGTTAGCAAAATATTTTCCCGTGCCGCGCTGCGCGCCATCCGCGACTCTAACGGAACGGGGAACACCGCCGAATCCTTCTACGTCGTTCCCACAACCGGCGGCACGGTTTCGTATGCCGGCATCCTCACTCGAGCCGAGAGGGAAGCCCGCCGCAGCAGCCTCGACGAGGCCGATGAAGATTTTGTCGACGCACGCGAAACCCCGGCCTCTCCAGAACTACGCCAGAACCTGGCCGGCTCCCGCGGCCGCACGGGCCGCACCACGGACAAACTCACCAGCCTGCACAATCCAAAGACTCTCGAGGAACTTCAGATGGAGAACCAGGCTCTGAAGCATTTGTCCGATACCCTGTCTAAGCGGCTGCACATGTGGGAAGTCAACGCGCAGTCATCCTCCATGGCGCTGCAGCAGTCCCTCAAAGCCATGCATCACCACAATCTTCCGTCGCCCGATTTCCAGCCCTCCGCGCAGTCCTCGGCTGTTGCAACGCCCAGCCCCGCAGCAGATCAGGACCAACGCATCAAGGAGCTGGAGGAGCGGGTCCGCCGCAGCGAAAAGGAGCTCGAGCGCATGGGCCGCGAGAACGAAAAGCTGAGGGACGTCTTGGGTCGGTATCGAGAGCGCTGGGAGAAGCTGAAGGAAGGCGCCAAGACTCGACGGGCAGAAGGGAGGGCTGGTGCAGGGTCTGCCGCCAGCGCCGCCGCGACTCCTGTCCAGCAGAGCGAAAACAACCCCCTCGAGCAAGCTGGCGGCAAAGCGAGGGCGGATACGAGCGGCGATACGGAGAATGATACGACAGAGCAGGAAAGCCGGGCTGATACTTCGGACAGTTGATCATTTCTTCTTCTTGAGATTGGAAAAAAGCAGATGCAACAAGCGGATTATACATTTTTCTTTATGATTTACTAGTTTCCCGGTAGCTATGCCCTCACTTGACTTACAACGGCTTATGATAACTCTATTGATACCGAGGAGCTCATGTTTTTTTTCTTTTTTTTACGATCATGTATCCATAGGAATGATAAACGAATTAGGAAAATCCATGCATTACCATTCAAACCACATCAAGGGTATGTTCATCCCATCTAATCACTCTAGCCCGCTATCGAACATGAGCAACAAACAACAATCAACAAACAACACCAACAACCCCGTGAAAAGAGAAAACACCTCTACTGCACATAGAAAGTAGCATTGCCCCTAATATCCGCCGAGCTACTCCCAACTAGGGCAGTGAAAGCCCCCGGCTCGACAACATACTTCATGGCCGAGTTCCACAGCCCCAGGTCCTGGACCTTGAGCTGGATCTTGACAGTCTTGGTCTTCATCGCCGGGATGGCGACCTTGGCGAAGCCCTTGAGCTGGCGGTTCGGCACGACAACCGTGGCAATCTCATCCTGGATGTAGACCTGCACGACCTCTGCGCCGTCCAGGTGCTTGTGCGTGTTCGTCACGTCGACGCTGACGGTGATGGTGTCGACGGCGGAGACGGTGGTCTTGTCGACGGTGACGGGGCCGTACTGGAAGGTGGAGTAGCTCTTGCCGTGGCCGAAGGGGTACCAGGGGAGCGGGCTGCCGAGGACATACTGGTGGCCGAAGACGAGGGAGCCGTCGGGCTGGACGCCGCCGGAGTCGCCAATGGAGCGGGCCGAGTTGAGGTGGTCGTAGTAGATGGGGAGGTCGCCGACGGACGAGGGGAAGCTGACGGAGAGCTTGCCGGAGGGGTTGTAGTCGCCGAAGAGGACGTCGGCGAGCGCGTTGCCACCTTCCTCGGAGGGGTAGAACTGTTGGATCAGGGCGGAGGTGGCGTTGGAGAGCCAGGGCTCGGTCACGGGCTTGCCGCTGCTCAGCACGACGACGGTGGGGACGCCAGTGTCGACGATGGCTTTGATCAGGGGTGCTTGGGCTCCGACGAGGGAGAGGTCGTTCACATCGACGTGTTCGCCGGTGCTGTGTGGGGGGGGGGGGGTTGAGTGTGTGTGCTCTCTGCAAGACGGGTCTTTGGGTTAGGTCACTTACGTTGCGTTGAGCCCCTGCCACAGCTCCATCTGGTCTCGCGACCAGGTACCGACCACGACAACGGCCACATCGGATTTCTTGGCCGCCTCGACGGCTTCGGCGAAGCCTGACTGGTCATTGCTCCATCTCTCACAGCCCTTGGCATAATGGACTTTTGCCTTCTTGCCAACGGCAGCTTTGATGTCGTCCAGGGGAGTGACTCCGCGGTACTGGCTCTTATAAACGACGTAATCTCCGTACTACTTGAATTAGTACTGCTATTAATGGTTGTCTCGGTATCTGCACTCACATTCATGAACCCGTGGGCCATGGGACCAATGACGGCAATATCTCCCTTCTTCTTCAGAGGAAGAACGTTATTATGATTCTCCAACAAGACAATGGACTCCTTGTCCAGCTGTCTGGCAAGCTTGACAGCTTCCGGGCTGTGAATCAGCTTATTCCAGTCAGACTTGGGAGCAGCAGGGTAAGGGTTCTCGAAGAGACCCATTTCGAACTTCGCCCTCAGTACTCTCGAGACAGCTGTGTCGACGGTCTTAATATCAAGTTTGCCGTTCTCGACGAGCTCTGGGATCTTTTGGAAGTTGCTATGCCCGCCATCAGTAATTGAAAAGGCCGTCCGGAATATTCAGTTTTACTCACAAGGATCCTCCACCCATCTCGACATCGTTACCAGCGGGCAAGGCCTGGAGAGTGACAGCTTCCATGTCAATTGGGGAACTTCTGCAGAGCTTGAAAGCGGTGCACAGCCTATCTGTACCACCGGCATCACTCATGACAAAGTAATCATAGCCCCATTCTTCTCTGAGAATCTCAGTCAACGTGTGGTAGTCGGAAACAGCGGGCACCCCATCATAGCTGGATGACCATGAGCATGTCGCAAAAGTGTACTCTGCTTGAGAACGATACTTACGAATGATATGCACTCATAATACTCCATGCTCCGGCATCAATAATGGATCGCTTAAAAGCAGGGAACCAACTACCCAAGTTAGTGTCTCCCGTATAACCAATATACTGCCCCTGGCTCACTTACGTTGTGCGCAGATATCTCTCGCCTCCGTGCACGGGGGCAGTGTTGATACCCTGTTCTGGCTGGCTGAAACCAATGAAGTGCTTGACCATTGAGGAGACATTGAGGCTTTGGATGCCCTTGACATAGCTGTACCCGATTTCCCCGGAGAGGTATGGATCCTCGGAGAACGTTTCTTCGACCTGTTGGCAACAATATTAACTTCTCTCTATGATTGACGAGTGCTGCAGAGACAACTCACCCGACCAAACCGCAACTCACGCGCAAGATCGACGACAGGAGCGAAAATCTGGTTAACACCAAGTGCACGAGCCTCCTGGCCGACATATCTGGCCATTTCCTCAACCAGCTAGGGGTATATATTAGTCGATGGCCAAGTACGAAGACAGCAGTCACCTACGTCAGGGTTGAAGGAACAGCCATAGGCGATGGGCGAGTTGAAAATTGTCGCATTACCGATCAAGAAGCCGTGAATACCTACATCCCCAATCACGGTTCTCATCAGCATCCTACCATAGACATCAAATCTACCAGTCTCGCAGCCCAACGTACCTTCGGTCTGCACAAGCGCGGGGATCCCGAGCGTGGTGTTCTCCAGCAGATAATCTTGAGCTTTCTTGACATTGGTCGCGATCCAGTCCCAGGAGACAGGGTAACCAACTACAACGAATTGTCAACGATGTGCTGCTGCACGCAGCGCCAGGGCGGATCCAAACTCCTACCGTAGAACGAGCCGGCCTTCATCTTCATACTCTCTACGAGACCGGTCTGATTGAATTCCCCAGTGGTAGAGTTCATCCAATTGGTGATATCACCTACAGACAAGATTAGCCAGTCGGATCTCCTGCCATTGCAGTCACGGAGGGGAAAGAATCAATGCACCCTGCATCAACTGAGCCATCTTGTCTTCAATGGTCATCCGGCCCAGCAGATCGGCCACGCGATCTTCGACAGAAGCATCAGCATCTTTGTAAAGGGGCGTCGAGGCCGCCTGGACAGTAGACAAGCCCGACAGAAGCTGCAGGAGCAGCAAGCCCCCGGAGAAAAAGCTTCCAGCCATCCTTTGAACCCAATACCAAACGTACAGGGACGAAATGTTTGCGAGTCCGACAACCACGAGAGAACTCTCCTCAGCGACCTGTACAGCGAAGGAAAAGGGCAGGGCGGGGAAAGAGAAAGAAGAGGAGGAGGAGGAGAAAGAGGAGGAGCTATCGACGTGATGCAGGCCGATTTATTTCCCTGGTGCTGCAGGTTATTCCTCGGCGAGTGGCCAGACCACGCTCGGAGCATTGTCCTGAACATCGCAATAACAATCCATCCTTAGCATCCTCGCAATAAGCACGAGTGCTCCGCAGTCCGCACCCGTATTGACAAGACGAAAAGCACAAGCGGCTTAGCTATGGAGCTGTCAAGTGACGATGAGGCCTAGCACGGAGAATCGGTCCGGGTCGAAAACATCGTTAGGGGAGGTAACAACCTGATATACGGGCGAATGAGTGCATCAGCGTCCTATGAGGTAGGTATCCACTGCACTACCTTCTGCCGTAGTATATATTGCCTCAAAGAAATCCGTGGGCATCATTGGGTGAGATGCAGGGTTGGGGGAATGGAAGCAAGCCGATATCCCCAGAAGTGCAGATGCGGAGTAGCATCTGGCCGGCTAAATTCAAGGAGATGAGCATCAGTAGATATCGAGGTAGACACTACCTAGGATCCGGTATAGATCAGCAAGGATTCACGAGGGGCCGGATGTCTAGTGGCTGATTTGAAAGTGCTTTCAATCGTGGTGCTCAACCGCACTCAACGTTGGCTGCTGCAAGATGCTTTTTCCACCTATCGAACGTCTTCTCGGCACACTCTGGACGGACCGACCACGCATGATTCCTGACTTAACCTGCATCCATTGACTGATCATTTCCTGGAACTGTCATAGTAGCCAGTTGCATAGGGCATAATCAGAAATCCATGCGCCACCTGAAAGGTATAGTGCGGTCTGGAAGAAGAGCAGGTTTCGGTGGAAGAAGAGCAATGAGGAGCAGGAAAGCATTCGATGATACCTCCTCCATGATCCTCGCCGAGGTTCTGGAAAGGTAGTCGGATCGATATATATATATATAGGTTGTGCAAAGTGAAGATGCTATTAAAGAATCTATATCGCCAGGCGAACGACGTAAAGCCCCTCGCATGTCTCGAAAACAAACCTCAACCCGCCAATTATTACAGCAAAGGTAAGAATATATGTACCGATGACTGGAGGGAGCCAGCCACCATAAAGAAGAAACAAGAAAATCGCCCGTCTACGCTCGCATGTCTCACTCATGGTGGACCATGCGTATCTGCACTATGTCCATGCTCATGTTCGTCTGTTTCCACTGCTGTTGCACTGCTCGATTCACGGTTGGTGTTGCTTGTGTTCGGTTTTCGGAGAGCACCACCAAGCCAGGCCAAGCCGCCACTCCATGAATCGCTCAAGCTGCGAAGACGGGTAAGTGTGGTAATATCATCAGCAACCTGGTTGCCGGTCTGATTTGTTGAATCAGTGACGGGAAGGGCATCGCCAACCCTACCAGGGGCGGTGGGAAGGTCACCTGTAGAATGGAGTCGAGCTGTTGCGATATGGAATGGTAAAGGTTGGCCATTCTCGACGCCTGCGTCGGTTCCTTCTGGGGGATTCCTGGGGTCACTATCCCTATTGCGGGGAAACCCGTCCAAGACAGTTGTGCTCAACTGCTTCCTCCTCGATCGTTTATAAGTCTTTCGGTCCTTCAGCGGACTCGTCTCGCCACGTCGGAGTGATTCGGCCACAACCGCACTGAACCCCCCCGACAGCGTAGGAAGCAGCGGGCCCGGCGAGAAATGTTTCGAAATAGAATTGCGCAGGTTCCTTGCAGGCGGTGGAGTCTGGGGAACAACGACGGCCCTGTCAGCCGACTCAGCGTGATCGACTTTGGTAGGAGACGGCGCACGGGGAGCGTGCTCTTCGATGCCAGGTGCGGGTGGAAATTGTAAAAGGACGGCTGAAGGAGCGTTCGTCTGTTCTGGCTGCTTGGGCTGTTCCAGAGTGGATTTCGAAGGGTGTACGTGCTGCTCTAAATGGTCCGCCCAGGGGTTTGTCAACAACGATTGTGAGTGCAGAGATGGTTGCTCTGGGGATGGATGGGAGAAAGATTCAGCCGTCAGTGAGCCAACAGGGGACGAAGGTGCAGCAGACAAAGCGCCCCTGGGATTGAGCTGGTCTTCATCAACACCTTCAATCCCCTGACTAAGCAAAGACCCGGAGGGTGACGGAAATTCGTTCTCTCGGGGCTCCGAGAATCTATAGCCAGGCTGGTGTTTCTTTGCTTGGTGGAATGGGGGGGTCATATCCGCCCGATCGCGGTAGCGCTCTCCCCCTATAAGTCCAATTGCTTCTTCCTCGTCTTCGACAGAAAAAGATGAGGAGTCATCGTCCGCACGGACTCTGCCACTGGTGATAAAGTATACGCCAAGGAATGTCAAGAGACAACCACTAACGAACTTTGCTGCACGCTCGAGCGTGTATGATTCAAAGTCGCGGTAGAGCACTGCACTCCCTATGATGACTGAGAGCGTAAAGAGCACAAATTGCGTTGGGATGACTTGTGTGGAATCAAAGCGCTGTAAAGCCCGGTTGATGTAGCGGATCTGCATCAGAGCGCTAAATACCAGGACAAACACCAGGAGATAAGTGATGGGAAAGGTGATGACATGCCATAGCGTAAATGACAAGAGTGAGGAAACGCCTTTTGTCGACAGCGCGGTATATCCACCTAGTAGAATTATGAGCAATTACCTCCTTCCAGTCAACCGATACGATGAGAACATACCAAAAAGGGCGACCAGTCCGACATCGACGAGAATTGATTGCGCGCCATACTTCTTGCTCACCCACATCAGAGCCACTATCAAGCCTGCAGTGAGACCCAGGTACAGCTCGAACTCCCAGCGCGTTATCATAACCCAGATATCGTGTGGCCCAATCTTTTCTTCCGACGAATTAGCGCTAAGGACCACCACCACGGCACCAGCGACCGCAACAAGAACACCCCAAAGATCACGTTGGCGGAATTTCTCCTTGAGCATGATCGGGGCAATGACGCAATTCGATATCAACGCGACCACACCCAAAGGCGACACAATGGACGCGGGCGCAAACCCATAAGCCATGAAGTTACCGACCTCACCAAGGCTCATCAGCACGATACCAGCCCACCAGTACGGCGAACGGAGGTACGACTTGCGACGGCCATAGCGCGGACTCTTATCCCCGGGACGGATGGTCTGATCAGAGAGAAAGGACTCGTGCGGTCCGCTGCGTGAGTCCGAATCATCCTCCGAGAACTCGTTGCTCCGCCGTAAGAACTCCTCTGGCAACTCCGGTCCAGAATCCGGCGACTGATCGCGATAGCGAGAGTACGGGGCTCTCTCTCTCTCGCGTCTGTATTCAACATCCTCTTCATACTCCGCAACTGCTCCGTAGACTGCTGCTGCATCGCGAGCCGAATGCGCGCGTTTCCATTCTAGTTCTTTCTGAAGCTTACTCTGCTCCCATTCCTTTTCAATCCGGATGTGCGCGTACCGCTGGATATTGAGCGCCAGAGATATGAGTATATTCCCCACTAATGCGGTCACAATACCGATCAACGAAGACCATTCATGCATATGTCCTCCTCCTTGACCGCCATTGTGAGAGTCCGAACCTGATGTTTGTGCTGGGAGATGTTGGAGCGAAGAAGACGCGGACGCGACGGCGGTCGGTGTAGGAGCGAAAGAGGAGACAAGAACCGTAAGCAGACCGGCTGCTAAGGGTTCTTCCTGGAAAGACGCCATCCAGTCCAAGGGGAAACACTTGGAAGTTGGAAGGTTGTGAAGAAGAGGAGAAGGGTGATGATAGCTCCGGGAGCTCCGCTGACAGCCGCGGAACCGAGTTGCTTGATTAAAACGGCGGTTTGGAACGCTTGATAGGAATAAGAATAATAAAGAAAAAAAAAAGACTCCAAACGGTCAGAGAAAACACTTGATGCGCTGTCTCAAACCGCTAGCGGGACATCAATCTCATGGGTTGATGATTTGACTCCAGCTGTGAAGAATCGCTCATCCTGTTAGATCAGAAAGTGACGCATGCTCTTCTCCTGACGCTGACGGAGACGGAACGCTTGATTCGTGGTGTCTTCACAGTCTCCGGGATTGTACAGATTCTTCAACGAATACAAAAAGACAATTCCCAGCTTTGGTTCGCTTCGACAGACGACGGTGGTCTTGTCGTAGTCGAGGAAGACCAGTACAGATGTTAGAGGGTAATGGCGTTGGACTCGACGACAGAATTAAAAACACGAGGATTCAGCCGGTCGCACGAGCGAACTAGTCAACAGCTTTGATAATGAAGGCAAATACAAGCACAACATCGTGGAGAATCCCAAGATCAGGAGAAGGTCGGAGCGAGACCAACAACGCCCAAGGCAAAAGCGACTACTGAAGGTCATACGGGATACCAATGCGTACTATTGGCCTGGCCTCCTCATAGTAGGAAAAGCCATCCTGCTCCGAATCCACCCCGCCCGTCCAACGTCATCAAGCAAAGCCGATTCACCTACGGCTGTATGTGGTATATCTACTGTATCTAACTACTAAAGACTACAAGTGCATAATTGATGCTAGATTAGTGGATATAGCAGCTCTTTTGGAGTAATACTATGGATTTGATATGGAACACCCCCTTTCCCCACAACGCCACCCGGCTTTGCATGTATGTATGTACAGTAAGTAGATTTATATATAGATCGAGATCAGATCGAACGACAATAAGAACCCTTCACCGCTTGGTTCTTTTCTTCTCAGGACCTTGCTCCTCCTCCTCCTCGTCGTCGCTGAGTTCTCTGTAGATCGGTGTTGGCTGCGTTTCTTTCCACGCTTTGGTGAAGATCGGGTCCTTCTGGGCTTTCTCGGCATATTTCAGTAATGCCTCACGAGGGTCTTCGTCGCGCATTGAGCTAAGAGGGATATTCTCGCGGATATGCCGTTCATCCGGCTGTGACTTGCCAAAAGGCGTTGTCGCCGGGAGATGGGGTCTGCGCGGATCCCTGGAACGACCCGAGGCCGTGAGTCCAACAGTCGGATGCCGGGCGGACCAGGTAGCCGAGCTATAATGAGGGACTCCGTTCGATCCGACCACCACCGAATCACCAGATAGACCTCCTGATAGATCCGTTGTGAAAGACGGGTCGTCATCAATGTGACGGCGCTTGGGAGCCTTGGACATGACCAAGGCGGCTCCCTTGGTCGACATGTTGGGGTCGTAGAGAACGTGTGTTTCGGCGTTGGCCGATCCAGTAATGATTTGATTCAGCTTCTCATGCCAAAGAACGGTGATCACCGGGGACCCTGGTGTGATAGGTGTCACAAGCTCCGGTTTCAAAGTAGCTGGGTTCAGGATGTGGAGATGGCCAGTCTCCGAGCCGGTGATAACATTGGCGGATGTAGGGGAGAACATGATGTTGGAGGATGGGTAACGGGCTGAGGTTGAAGGATGCGAGACCGTCGTGATCGGCTGTTTGAACTTGCGTGTATCCCAGAGCTTGATGGTATCATCTCCGCCCCTAGAAATGACTAGCCTTCCGTCGGCGCTGATGTCCAGCCCGCTGGTCCACGTATCACGAGTATGCGCATCTCTTATCTCGCCACTGGGCCGATTGAACGGCCCATTCCCACCCCACATCACCAAGCTTCCATCAAGGGCAGCAGCAACAAGAACGTTGGAACCACCCTGTTTCGGAGAGCCCCAAGCAACGGCAGTCATCTTGCTCCGACCAGCGGATCCAGCCACTCTCGACTTGTGCACAATGACTTCCTTCTGCGATCGCCCGACATTTGCATCCCATATGCGCACTGTGCTGTCCGTCCCGGCGGTAACGCACAGGTTGTAGTCCGTCGGCGACCAGGCGCCGCTAATTACTTCCGCCACATGGCCCTTGGTATGGTGAAGATCTCTCAGGTACATATCACCCTTCACGAATTCGGTCAGAACCTCACCATCGCGATCCAGGATTCGAGGCTGCGGCGTCGCGGTAACAACCATAACATGGCTGGGGGATAGAGGGTTGAATGCAACATAGTGGACGGGGTGCGTTTCCTGCGCAGCCGATTGCTTCTTCGCGGATGGATCAACGGATTTGAAGGCGCGCACCGTAGATGGAGTCATAGACGCAAAATCATGAAGCTTGAGTGTACAGTCGGTCGAACCGGTAATCAGTCGCGCTCCAGCTGGATCAACGGTCATGGTTGTCACGGCGCGCTCGTGGGTCTTGATAACGAGCTCGTGTGAAACAGGGAATTCGTCCTCGTCATCTTCGTCCGAATCGTCGTCGTCGTCTGAATCATCATCTGACCTTGCTTTTTCATTGTCAATCCTTGTCTCTGCTTCAGCATTAGGTACCGGACCGGTGTGCACGCTGTCTACCAGCTCCTTCTTTTCTTTATCGCCGTCGGGTTTCGCTGCGAGCTCCGACCGCTTGGTGCGGCTGATCTGAGCGCTCACATCAGTCTTCTTTTCTTGTTTCCCGAAGCTGGTCGGGAAGAACTTTTTAAAAGCTTCCTCGTCGAACCCGTCCATTGTAAGAGACGAGAATCTGATTGAGCATGAGACGACTGCTGGTCAGAAATTCCGTTGCTGATTGAGAGTTGCAAGTTGCGACAGCTTTTGTTTGCCACATTTGCATTGTTTAGCATGTTTGCATATGTCGCACGCGAAGTATGACATCGACATAACAGTAAACAAATTATTCAGACAGTTGGAAGCTCATGTCATTATTAGAATACATCACTAAAGGTCTCTAGGAGCACAACCATATTGCTTGATCTACAGAGCAAGTAGGCACTAAGAACATATCCCCACCTACAAGTACAAGCCCTCCACAGGTCCGCCGTCCTGCTTGGTCTTCATGATCCGCTCCCTGGCAGCGCGGAAATCGTCCATCTGCACTCTCATGCGACGCTCTCTCAGCGCCATGAGACCAGCCTCTGTGCAAATGGCTCTGATATCGGCACCGGACAAATCATCCTTCTGGTTGATAAATTCGTCGAGGTCCACGTCATCTCCAAGCGACATCTTGGACGTGTGCAAAGTGAAGATCTTCTTCTTGGTGTTTTCTGGGCATTGTTAGCCGTTTGAGTTCGACGGTCTTTTGGTTGTAAATTGCACTCACGATCTGGGTTCTCGAAGAGAATCTTCCGGTCAATACGTCCAGGACGGATCAGGGCAGGATCCAGCGTCTCAATCTTATTTGTGGCCATAATGACCTTCACGTCTCCACGATCATCGAATCCATCCAGCTGGTTCAGAAGCTCCAACATGGTACGCTGGATTTCTCGCTCACCACCGGATGTAGAATCATAACGCTTCGTACCGATGGCGTCGATTTCATCGATGAACACGATGGAGGGAGCATGTTCGGCGGCAACCTGGAAAATCTGGCGAACCAACCGCGGACCATCACCGAGGTACTTCTGGATCAGCTCACTACCGACAATACGGAGGAAAGTGGCACTGGTTTGGTTGGCAACGGCCTTAGCAAGCAACGTCTTGCCGGTACCAGGAGCACCGTAGAGAATGACACCCTTTGGCGGCTTGATACCCATCTCTTCGTACAACTCTGGATGCAGCAACGGCAGCTCGACCGATTCTCGAACTTCTTGGATCTGCGACTCGAGACCACCAATATCGGCATAAGACTCAGTCGGTGCTTTGTCGAGCTTCATGACGGAGACAAGCGGGTCCGACTCCTCAGTCAGCACACCAACGACCGAAACCGACTTGTGATGCAAAAGGATACTGGCACCGGGCTCCAGCAGATCCTTGTCGACAAAGGACATGATAGAGACGTAGTACTCGGGGCCGGTTGCACTCGAAACAATCGCATGGTCATCGTCAATCAACTCTTCCAGATTGCCGACTCCCATAGGAGTGCCTCTCATGTCATCAACCCGACTCCTCTCATCTGCGTTTCTGTCCATGATATCCAAGTCACCCGGGCTCACGGAGTCCAGCGAAGCCTGGGCCTTGGCCTTGCGCAGACGCTCCATGTTCTCCACATATTCCTCCTCGAGCAATAGGTGGTCGTGGACCCGTTGCATTCGAAGGTATCGTAGTTTACATCGTGACGTAGGGAAGATGTCCGGCAATTTCGATGCAGTGCTAGGACCGGCCGCCTTGCGCTTCTTCCGTCCAACGCGGGTTGTAGGTGGTGGTGGTGGTTCGTATCTAGGCTTCTCCTTCTGATAACGGCAGTCCTTGTCAGCGACTGGGCTTGAAAGCATGAGGAACGGGCCAGACGCGCTAACGTACCTTCTTGTCCTTGTCATCTCTTCCATCCCCGCCGGGACCTCCTCCGATGTTCGACTGCTGGTTACCCTATTTCCAAAGACTTGTTAGACTTGTACAGATGGGAATGAGGCAGCTGATGACGATAGCACTGTTCTTTAAGCACGTACCATGGCCCCAGAGTCTGTAAATGTTAAAGCAAGAAAATCGTATCAATGACCGGCTTCAGATATCTCCTAGTGCCAAAATCTCGATGGTTACAGGTATGAAAGTCAAGAGGTGGATGGAGGATGAAGGTGACGGAAGCTTCCATCAAACACTCAGAGTGAGCTGGGCCCAAGCTGTTGTCGCCATCCCGATCGGGTCTTGGCGTCTCTATCAGTCAGCATCATACGCACGTGACATATCGCCGACTGCTAGCCTCGGAATTCAGGGATCAACAACTGAATGCCTTTCGAGGATCTATGGGGGGGATAAAAGTAACACTACGTACCTTACTATTCAGCAGTAAGGACTTGAGATCTTGAAATACTTTAGGTCAAGGATCATCAAAACTGACTGATCACTGGGAAGATGATGCATCACTGAGACGGCATCAGGCTAGGGTTGGGACTTGGGAGAGTAAATATAGTCGATGTAGATAAACTGATAGGCAGGACCTTAGTAGCTATCAGGTATCTGCCTTGCTCCGCATACCTTAAGGTCAGGCACCTGCTTGACTCCAATACATCTGCCAGCCTGCTTGACTCATGATCCAAAGCTTTACCTGACGTGCTTTACTGGATTGTCAGGGAACTCTGTTATCTACTCTGTAAGTTCGAGTCCTACCGATCCTCCCCGCACGCATCTGATCAATCGTATGCTCTCCCCTCCTCGAACAAGAATGAGGCTCCGACCTATCTTCCCCTACCAATGAGCAAAGTTCTTTTCCTTCTAGGTTGTTTTGTCTTACATTCGCTTGGTGTCTAGAAACTTCTTGACTCATTACTCCCGATTCAAGTCGATCTATTGTTAGCATCTCGTGAATCGACCCCCGCCTTATAGACACATAGCACCACCCCTCGCTACCCCAGTGACCTGTGACTCGGTCAAACAACCCTCAAAATGGCTTCGAATCGAACACGGCGTATCGCAAAGGAGATTGCTGATATTCAAGCGGATACTTACTCGCAAATCACCGCCGAGCCGGTGGGAGACGACGACGATATCACACACCTTCGCGGCACATTTCCAGGGCCGCCAGGGACGCCGTACGAGGGTGGAACCTATAAGATCGATGTCAAGATACCGACGGACTATCCGTTTCGGCCGCCCGTCATGAAGTTCGAGACTAAGGTCTGGCATCCGAATGTCAGCAGCCAGACAGTGAGTAGTCCGTTCCGTGCAGCATCGGGTTGCTGTCGGGTGATCATTTGTTGACATTTTTTTTTCCAGGGCGCGATCTGCCTCGATACTCTTTCAACAGCATGGTCGCCCGTTCTTACGATCAAATCCGCGCTTCTATCCCTACAATCCTTACTTAGCACTCCCGAACCGAAAGATCCGCAAGACGCAGAGGTAGCTAACATGCTACTGCGGAGGCCGAAGGAGTTCGAGCGTGTTGCACAGGAATGGGCTGTTATATACGCGGGGGCTCCGAGAAAGCATGCTGGCGAAGGAAGCGGCGGTGCGACGGATGAGTCGCTCCGGCAACAGGAGCTACGAATCAAGGAAGAGCAAGAAAAGGAGGACCTCTCCAAGTATGTTTTCGCCTCCTCCCGCATGCCATGTTTCTCTGCCGTGTCAGGAGAGCTCTTGCTCACAGTCTTCATCAGGTACGACGGGTACAACAAAGATTTGATCGATCGTTTTTGCAGCATGGGCTTTGACGTGGATCGAGTAGTGGCCGCCTTCAAATTCTACGGGATCGATCGAATGGGCGGAGAGGACTATGGATTAGACGAAGGCTATCTGGGGGATATAACAGCACATCTTCTTGGCGAGTCATAATGAACCATACGATGATCTCGTCAAGGCAGTAATGTGGGAACTTCGATTGGGAGCAAGGAGCCTGGCGAACGTCTTTACGGTCAATGTATTGCAATTCTGATGTCAGACCATCTATGGTTCAGATCTATGGAGCTTTATATATCATGTCTTATGAGGTTTAAATGCTATTATGAGCTGTTTAACTGTTCTAATACCTCCCCTAGACGTCTTCTAATAAATTATCTGTCATCAAACATCTCATGTCTACTTTTATTGTATCGAGTAGATCATACTATATGGCAGGATCAATAAGGCGCAGCTGGAGTAGAGAGTATCTATGTAGTTATTATTGATAGTGATAAGCTGGTGGGTCTGCATCTTCTTTTCCTCTGCCAGCTTGAACTCCCAATTCCTCTTCATGACAGCTCCGCCAATTTCTTGACAATGCACCAATGAATTTGAATTGATACGAATTTCAAAAGTGCTGTTCAACCTTACTACACCTCTGTCTTAATCGTCACCCTCCAACCTACGATTACTGACCCCCACGAGGGCTCTGCCAGTTCCGCTCGACACCAGCCAACATGTTCGAGGACGATGTCTATCGGACCTCGTCGCAGTACCGACTCTGGTCTTACACTGAAGCTTCTCTGCGCTCGCTTAGGGAGAATACAAATTCCGTTGCGAGCGAGCGTGTTCGGGCTGCATTGCGGAGGGCGCGAGAGGCGCGACAGTCGGCCAACTCATCAGCTGCCGGTACACCCACGCCGAGAACCGATGCAGAGGGCAGGACCGAAGAGAAAGACATTGACTGTTTGACATCGGAAGAGGAGAAGGAGCTGGTGCGATTCTACTGCGAGAAGGCCGTCGAGCTGGCGGAGACATACAAACCACCATTACCGACAATTGTACGGGTACGTCGACGATTGTCCGAAACATTTTGTCTTTGTTTTGGAGAAGGATTCACATTGACTTTGAGATGACTGACATATCTGCTATGCTGAAAGGCCACTGCGATCCAATACATCCGGCGGTTCTACCTTACCAATTCCCCCATGACCTACTCCCCCAAAACCATCATGCCATGCGCACTCTTCCTCGCGACCAAAACCGACAATTACTACATGTCCCTCCGACAGTTCGCCGAAAAGGTTCCAGGCGACACAACGGCCGAGGACGTCATCGGCCCTGAGTTCCTCATCATGCAAAGCCTGCGCTTCACATTCGACGTCCGCCACCCCTTCCGCGGCCTCGAAGGCGGCGTCATGGAACTCCAAGCCATGGCCCAGGGCATGGGCCAGCCTGCACCTCACCTCCCTCACCAAAGCCCCGAAACTCTCCGCCAGGGCATCCTCTCCCTCCCTCCAGCCCCAGACTCCCCCGCCTCTTCCTCCTCCTCCTCCATCACCGACCGCATCGCCCGCGCACACACCACCACTCGCGAGCTCCTCAAAACCGCCGCCCAGATGACAGACGCCTACTTCCTCTACACGCCGAGCCAGATCTGGCTCGCAGCCTTAACCCTCGCCGACCAACCCCTAGCAACCTTCTACCTCGAGACGAAGATCGGGCGCGACACTGACACCGCCGCCGCGGACCCATCCATAGCAGACGCACTGCACACCATCCGGCTCAAACTCCAGCGCACGCTCGCCGGCTGCGCCGCCCTCCTACAATCCTACAAACCGCTCAACGCAGACCCAGAGCAAATGAAGAATCTCAAACGCATCGGCAAGAAATTCTACTACTGCCAGAACCCGGAGAAGATCACCATCGCCGGGCAGAAGCGCGTTCCCGCAACTGCTGCGGCGGCGGCCGCCGCCGCCGCTGCTGCCGCAGGGACCGAGGGTGCCACCTCGGAGAGCGAGGTCGAGCGGTTGGCGAAGAAGCGCAAGCTGGAAGATGAGGCGAAGGGTCAGGGGGCGCGGGATCTCTTTGGGGGCGAGCTGGTGCGGGAACGGGTGAAGGAGCGGCCGGCGGGCGAGCAACATCCATCGTAGTATTGTTATTTCTTTTTATATGGCTCATATTTTCTAATAGAAGGGTTGGAAAATCGGGGGAAAGCAGTCTATAGGGGGTTTATGATATAGATCCATATTGCCTTGAGTTTGGAAACTCATCTCCAGAGAATTTGTCTCATGATGACCATAGGTCAGAACTAGAACACTTGGGTAGTCGGTGTACTATTGCCCTGGGTTCTCGTCACTAGAACGAACAAAACAAAACAAATTGGACAATCACGTGAAGGACATCATGCACAGGTTTTGGTCTACATGCAGGTATCTACAGAAGATGAGACGAGGATAGTTGTAAAAAAAAGATCTCGAATTGAGCCATCGCTTGGCTCGGCTCTAGTAGGAGGATGAGAGGTATGAAAACGAACCATCTAGAAGGCACCCAGAAAGACAAAAACGGGGGGGAAGAAAAAAAAAAAAAAAGGAAAAGCAAAAGGAATATCTCCAACAACGAATATGTAAAAGTAAAAGGAAAGAGGAAACAGAAACGGCCTATATCACTTGTGGCTCCAGGATACATCATCACTCCTGGAAACACAACTTTTTTCAAGCTCCCGGGGTCACACTTTTGAAAGGGGGGGGGGGTCATCTCTAAAAACGTTCCAATCGTAACATGAAAGAAATAAAAACTGAAAAAAAGGGGATATAGAGTTTAGACCATGCCCGCGTCAACCATCTTCTTGCGCAGATGGTTCTTGTACTCGCCGATGCTGCCGTCCCAGCGCGTGACGGTCTTGTTCTCGCAGACCAGAATATCCTTGGCGATCTTGTCGAGCAGTCGGAAGTCGTGAGATACCACAACGACACCACCGGTGTAGGCGTTGATCGCGTCGGCCAAACTGTCGATGGTGGGGATATCGAGACCGTTGGTAGGCTCGTCGAGCAGGATCATGTTGGGGGACTCGATGGCCAGCAGAGCGAAGACGATACGACTCTTCTGACCTTCAGACAGGGTGCCCATCAGGGCAGTCTGGGATTCACCGCTCAGACCATAGCGACCGAGCTGCTGACGCCAGTACTGGTAGTCCTGACTCTTTTCGGGGAATTTGTCGCGAACGAATTCCAGGGAAGACTTGGTCAGATCCAGCTGTTCGGCGGAGTGCTGGCTGTAAATGCCGAGCTTCAGGTGAGTGTGACGACTGACGCGACCGCCGATGGGCTGGAGCTTTCCGGTCATGAGGCGCAGCAGAGTGGACTTGCCAACACCGTTGGGTCCGACCAGGGCGGTTCTCGAGTCCATGTCGACACCCAGATCCAGGTGCTCATACAGAGTATCTTCCCACTTGCCAGAGTAGGAGAAGGAGACGTCGTCGAAGGACAGGACCGGGGGAGGAAGCTTCTCAACATCCGCGAAGCGGAACGAGAAGACCCGATCGGGAATGACGGGTTGGATGAATCCGTCCGCCTCCATCTTGTCGAGAATCTTCTGGCGGGACTTGGCCTGTCTGACCAGGTTGGCGTAGGTACCGGCGGAGGCGATGAACTTCTTGATGTGAGCGATTTCCTCCTGCTGCTTGTTGTAGGCCTTCATCTGGTTGGTCTCCTGTTCGCTACGGGTCTTGTGGTACGAGTCGTAGTTACCACCGTAGTAGAGGAGTTGCTTCATGCGCATGTCAATCATGTTCGTGCAGACACCGTTCAGGAAATCCTCCGAGTGAGAGACCAGGATCAGGGTGCGCTCCCACTTCTTCAGGTACTCTTCCAGCCACACACAGGCCTCCAGATCCAAATGGGCAGTGGGATCGTCGAGCAAGAGCAGAGAGGGCTTGACGAAGAGGGCCTTGGCGAGAGCCACACGCATACGCCAACCACCGGACATATCCTTGGTCTTCTTCTGGATGGTTGTCTTGTTGAAACCCAGACCGGTCAAGATCAGGGAGGCACGGGTATGGAAGGTGGATGGGTCCATTTTGTCCATACGCTACATGGGACGTTAGTATCCGATCATAAGACCAAAAAGATTAAAAAAATAAAAAATAAAATAAAAAATAAAAAAAAGTCAATGAACTTACATCGTAAAGATCCTCCAGAATAGGGCTCTCAGGGCCATCTTCCTCCAGAATCTCTTCCGCCTGCTTCTCCATACGTGCCAGCTGGTTCTCAGCCTCCTTGACAACCCATTCCAAAGCACCGAGCTCGCTGGGAGGAGCACCCTCGTTCAGAAGGTAGATATCGATATGCTCGGGAATAGGGTACTCGCGAGAAGCAATGGCCTTGAGCAGAGTCGACTTGCCACAGCCGTTCTCACCGAGCAAACCATAACGACGACCGAAGTTGAGTTCGAGAGTCGAATCGGTGATAAGGACCTTGCCGTGGAACACGAGGGAGGCGGAAGTGACCTTAACGTCGCGGGAGGAAGCCATCGACGACAGCACACCGGTAGTGACACGGTCTGACAGACCATGCTTATCCATCTGTGCCGTCAGCTTCTCAACCTCCTTCATCTTCGCCGCATTGGTGGCGGGCTGATCATCGGTAGGGAGGACATCGCCCTCGGCCTCGACCAAGGGGGTCTCGTCACCCTTCTTCGACTTGGAACCCTTTGTCTTCTTCTCATCGGCACGCTTGGCCATACGAGCAGCTTTGGAAGCAGACACCATTTTGACGGTAAGCGACAGGTAGTGAGTTGGTTGGAGTTGGAGTTGGGGTTGGGGTTGAGGGAGGGTAGGGTAGGAGGGCGAGCGGAGGGGGGAGGGGAGATTGGTAGATAGACAAAAGTCTGTCTAGGGTCGTTTGAAGTTTGGACACAGAAGTGAGGAAGGGAAAAAAAAAAAGGCTCGACGGAAGTGGATTCGATAGCGGGGAGGAAGAGAGGAAATAGAGGGGCGACCAGAAGCCTCTTTGAGTGGGGAGGGAGAAAGCTGTTAGCCTGTTTGTTCGAATAGGAAGCCCTTATCGATACGGACTATTGCCACTAAGACCGGTTGTCGATTGGAAAGCGGTCTGCTATACTTATCTATAGCCACGACTAAACGAGCGGTCTGATGGCAGCAAGTAAAATTGGATCGACTAGAGATAGTTAGATAGATAGACGATATGAATATTAATCACCAGAAGACAGACGATGGAAGAGAAAGAAGTCTCGAGTTTTTTCTGATTGATCGTTTGTTGGGCCAAAAATTCGTTCAGTGGAGCGTTTCCTGATTGGTCGCGCGACGTCACCGCGCGGGTACCGTGGCGCAACCATTCCTGATTGGACAAAAAGTGGTCATGTGATTATGGCCTTACACGCAAGGCATCCACGGCCAGCCGCCTATCAGAACCCGAACCCTTTATTACTTAAGAGGCATCGTTTCAGGAAGAATAATCAGACTGTCGGTCCTAGCTAGACTAGATAGTCTTGTACAGATTCCTATGCCCCGTATGGCCTAGCGCTATTGTATTCGTTGGCTGACTTTCTCCAGCATCTCCCTCTCTTCTACTGTAAGCCACAGGTTGTCCGGCAAGATGAGCTCCCCACGTCGGATGATGATCTGCTCCTGAGTGTCCATCATGCTGTCCTCGGATGCACTGGCTTTGATACTCTCGGGCTTCTCATGCCTGACACTTTCGGTATCTTCAGGTTTTGGAGGGGACAGGCGGTGCGGTGTCCACCAGTAGAAGGGGAACCGCCGCTGGATGTTATTGATTAACAACGCCACGGAGATGATCAGCACGCACCCCAGCAGCATGATGGGAACGAGATACCAGCCCACTTCGTACGCTTCGGTGACAGCCAGGAGGGCGGTGGCACCCGCGGGGGGGTGAGTGGTGTTGGTAATGGCCATGAACGCGATGGTGATGGCGCAGGCCAGGGCGCCTCCCACCTGGGGCAAGGCATGCGCATGAGGGTTCAGCGCGAAGAGCTTTCCGATCGAGACGCCGATGATGCTGGCAGCGAGCTGTCCTACGATCGCGTTCCGCGGCTGGGCAAATGGAGATTCGATGGCGGAGAATTCCAGCACCGCCGTGGCACCCTAGAGAGAGAAAGAGAGGAGTCAATTACGTTTTCCCCTTCCCCCTGGCTCTAGAGCCTAAATACTCACAAAACTGGCAATGATGACGGGTGCATGGTGGCTTTGGAACGACGGCACATTTGAGGAGACCTCGGCGATAATGAGGACGCCGCAGAACGCGCCGATGAGAGCCCAAAAGGCAATCACTAGGTTTCCGACGGCCTTCGGGGGTTGGTCCCCTCGATATCCGAAGAAGTGGGAGATAGGACGAGGCAGCCAGCGCCATGGCGGAGCGGGCAGGTAGGGGTTGAGATAGGCATCGAGGTCGAAGTGCCAGCGGGACAGGTCGAGGCCTTTCGACCTGGTCGATGCGTGGTCCTGCGACTGATGCACCATCTGCCAAGTCGTGTCACCGACGTCCAGGCTTCACACAAGTCTATCTGCCGAGCCTGTTAGTCCACGAGCAAATGTCACCAGAACGACAACTTGATTGGCAGAGCAAAGACAAGGTCAAGGCTGTGGCACGTCTCTTCGACAAAATCGGTAGACATGGTCGAGATAGCAGGACAGAAGTAGATCCGAATATACCATGCCCATTAAATTGGAGAACAACAGGATAACCAACCTAGATCGAGAGAAAGAAGCGTGAAGGACTGAGGGTAGAACAGAATACTTGGAACAGACAGACTCGTCCACCAACTACTGACTAGGTAGGTATCGTAGCAGGCCATCAGTTTCATCCCAGAATCATTCCTCAGAGACGAAGATTCTGACTCCCCATCATCATCCACATATATACGGCCCGAGGTCCATCCGCCTCTTCCTCTCCAGCGCGACAACATCACGACTAAGTAGACTACATCTCCGCGGAAAGCGACCCGATGTATGGGAGTTTGAACTGCGCGGCCTGCTGTATGATCATTACTGACGCCGTAAATGCCAAACGCTCTGCTCCCTCCGGTCCTGCTTGGATGTCCATTTGTCGTGCTTCTTCCACTCACAGCGTTTGTGTTGGGTAATGAAAATTCCTGGTGTGGTTTAGCGGCTGTCACCTAGATCCAATGAGGTCATGCCAGGACGGTGTCGTATGGTCATCTGATGAGCTGAGTGTAAAATTACCGCTCACTCTGCTGCTTGCAGTACCTAGTACCTAGTACCTAAATACCTACCTATTTAATAGTATATCTTAGGTAAGGGCCCCAGTGGCCCTAGCATTCCTATTAGGAGTCTAGGACATCCTTAATAATCTATTCTTCCAGGCCTTCTACTTTAATAGGCAGAGGTAGCAGTTATGTTTACCTAGGCACTATAAGGATCATGAAGGTCTATTATGTACTATATTAAAGCTACCTTTATAGAGGAGCCTACTAATAAGAAGGCTCCTCATAAGAGGTCATGTAAATAGTTATATAGCCTATAAAGATATAAATCCTGTCTATAACTATTAAACTCTAAAGTTTAGTAATAATCTCTTTAAATAAGGATATCTATATTTAAATCTATTTATAAATATTCTTCTTTTATATTAGTTTCTAATTTTTATAGATTATAGATCCTTATATTTTATTACTTAACCTTTAAAACTAATCTATTAAGAAAATAATATTATAAAAGAAGTTAATTAGATTTAAATTATTTAGTAAACTCTCCTCTATAACTATATAAAATTAAATAGTAGGAAAAGAGGTAGCCTATAAAGAAAAAAACTCTAAAAATAAGCTAGATTTATAAGACTCTCTTATTCTAGTAGATCTAAAGTTAATAAAGATAACCCTTATAAAAGAGTATCTATAATAGGAACTATAGCTTTTATAAGAAATCTAGAAGCTTTATAATAATCTAGGTATAGGCCTTAGAAAGTATCTATAAAGTTAAGAATAAGAGGAATTGTTATGATGGTAGTCGTAAAACCATGATAGGTGGTGATGGATTTTGTTGATGGAAAGATGATTGTTTTACTATGGCTTCTGCTGTAGGGATATATTATTATGTCATATGACTCACTCCCTGTGGTTATATAGTAGGACCATAATAATATCCCCATCACATAAAAGGTGGAGCCCAACTACAACTTAGTAAAAAGAAAGAAAAAAGGGAAAATCATAATATCTTAGTAAGCAGTAGGGAATAGGAAAGATATATAGTAATCTAGTAGTATATAAAGGAAATACCTTAGTCTAGTGGAATATAGTTATTTTAAGGGGAATATTTAACTACTGAACTCATAGTAAATAGTGTTAAGATTCTTCTATAATATATGGGATAGTTCCTATTTAGTAAGTGGTATGTTAAGCTGCTTATATTTATCTATAGGGTAATTAAAATGCCAGGCTTTAAGATTAATAAGTAACTGCCTGATGTATTAGATAAAGAAGTATTTAATAGTAAAGTCTAGTATAATTATAAGAAAGACATATAATACTATAGTAGATTTACTCTAGTAATATTTAGTAAAGTCCTCTTCTAGTACTTTAGTAAACTTAGTATTATAGTTAAATAAATCTATTTATCTCTATTCATCCTCTGATACATTATTAATATTCTTTTTTAGAATTAGGTTAAAGACTGTATAGTACCTATTAAGTATTTAGGGAATATATTTAGCTATAACCTAACTTTTATAATATTTAATTACCTAAGTAATATACTATTTTAACCTAATATATAGAACATGCATCATCATATAGGTAGGGGTTAGCAGCTCTATAAATAGTATTTATAATTTATTATTATTATTATTAGTATTATTATTACTATCCTTAGCTAGGGCCTCTTCCTCTTATCTAGTAGTGTAGATAGCTCTTTCTATCTTTAGTAGGATAATCTTAATTTTAGTAAGTTATATAGGAACCTAGAGCTTAGCTAGGAGGTTATAAACTCTATATTATAGCATAATCTAAAGGGCATTATTAAGTCTACCTATATATTATAGGGATAGAGGCTCTAAATTATTCTGTGCTACCCTAAACTAATCTATAGTAGTAATATTAGTATTAGTAACCTAATATATAAAAAAATCAGGATATTAGATATAAGTCTATTTAACTAGAGAGAGTTCCTAGTCATATCTATATTATAAGGATCTATGATCCGCGAGAAGTGGAAACTAGTGTGAAAGAAGAATGGTTATGAATAGATTCAAATATAGGTATCCTTATTCAAAGAGATTATCACTAAACTTCAGAGTTTAGTAGTCATGGGCAGGGTTTATATCTTTATAGGTTATATAACTATTTATATAATCTCTTATAAGGAGCCTTCTTATCAGTAGGTTCCTCTGTAAAGGTAGCTTTAATATAATACATAATAGACCTTCGCGATCCTTACATATATATATAGTAATATGCTATCTCTAGGGTTAATCTATCTAATTTATATTTAATATCTTTCTTATATCCTTCTAGGAATTCTATAGCCCTGTTAAGATTGAATAAGTATTAAATATGGGTGGGGTCTAGGTAGATATATTTAAGCTTAATAAGATAACTACTAAAGATAATAAACTTATACTAAGGTTTAATCAGCTTTAGGCAGAGGAAAACAGCTTTATATACTAAAGAGGAGAAGACTAAATATATTATATAAATAGCTTTAAATACTCTAGTTATACTAATCTTTATAATAGGTATATGCACCTCTCTCTAAGTTAGGGGCTTATTAGGGATATTAAATAGGATCTTAGTTAGTAGTCTAGCTTTTAATAGAAGTCTTTTAGGGAGAAAGTATATAATATTTACTAGCTTAGTTAGATATTTAATTAATACTCTGATTTTATAGATCCTAGGCTCCTCTATATTACTAATAATAGACTTATTATCTTCTTAGTTATCTAGCTTAATATTAGTATTAGTATTAGGTTTAATATAATTACTATTAATATCTTTAATTAATTTAGAGTACTAGAAGATCTCCTTAATTCTATCTTTATTAGCTTTTACTTTTAATTTATTCTTCTTTTTTTTTCTGGGTATTATATTCTTTTTATTAAGACTAATATATTTCTTACTAATGTGATATCAGTGAACAAATATCATGAGTAGATTAATGATTATTAAGGTTAACTCTGGGTTACTAAGGTTAACCTAAGAAATCTCTATAATATCTATAACTTATCTTTTAGATAGATAGCTAGTAGCTAAGTATAAATATAAGATCTTATCTTAGATAAGTAAAGAGGTATTAGTCTAGCTTATCTCTCTTTATTCTTAGTAATATTATCTTACTTTTAGTAATTCTATCTAATAGTATATTTAAAGTTATAAATAGTAAGAAATTAAATACTTTTATTTTATTAAATCTATATTTATCTTAGTAAATACCTACTACTCTTCCCTATAAGTAACTACTAAATTTAAGCTAAAAGATAGTAGAGTAGTTATACTTAATAAAGAGTTTTTATTATAGAAGAACTCTCTATTAAGCCCTATTAAGAGAGATAGAAATAAAATAAGATATAGTAACTCTAGGCTAGAGAAGTATTACTTAATTACTAAAATAAGTCTTAATAAAAAATAATCTCTATAAGATAATATCCTTAAACCTTCTTACTAGAACTACTAATAATAATTAGCTACCTATAGTAAATAATTCTACTAAAGATCTATTAGAGAAGATAAAATAAGCCTTTACTAAGCTATTTAAGATAATAGCCTAAGAAGTATTATATATTAATATTAATATACTCTTCTAGAGTATTTACTAAAAGTAATATAATAAATAAGTACTACTCCTAGAATTATAAAAGATAAATTATTATTATAGATTATTACTTATTTTTAAGGTCTTAAATCTTACTCCTATCTTAGAGTATAAGGATATATATATAAGAGATACTATCTAAGAATAGTAAAAGAGAATTAAAAAATATTTTAGAGATATCTTACTAATAATAAAAAAAGTTCCCTCTAATCTAGAATATCTTATTATTATTAAGTAGAAACTTATAGAATATACTTATAAAAGATAAAAAGTAGATAAAATCTAATTATAGATTAATCTTATACTTATAATTACTAATATAGAAATCTTTTATATATAGCTGCTAAAGAACTTTAAGAAATATAATATAAATAATAAAAGATAAGAAAAATATAAAAGCCTTATCTAGGGTCTATAATTTATATAATTATATATTATTACCTTAGGTAAAGCTATAGTATATATCTCTCCTCTAATATATAAAGCTTCTCTTATTTAAAAATTTATTATTAGGAGTTAACCAGAGCTTAGGAAAAGATAGGTAGAGAACTAAATATAATTATAAATATATAATAAAATAATTAAATACTTCTCTCTTTATAAGAATAGCTTAGCTACTACTTAATAACTTAGAGATAACCTATAGTTAAAACTATACTTTAATTAATATAATAGAGATCTAATAAATCTAAGTATAA